TTGGCATAATTATTTGTTTATTTTTATTTTTCATGCACATATTATTTATTTATATTTTTTATTTATAAACAAACAATTTCCTATATTTATTTATTTATTTATTCAAGGATTTCTTTTCATGTGGCAAATAATTATTTGTTTAATGACCATCCGTAAGTTTTGTTAAAATGAATTATACACACTCCAGAAATAAATATATTGACACAGTTTTCACAAGAAACAAATTACACAAACACAAACACACAAACACGCAAGCACGCACACACACACACACACACACACACATATATATATATATATATATATATATATATATATATATATATATATATATATATATATTTATAAATTAATTGATTTAAAATATGGTTATTTTCGCTAAAGTTCAACCATGTTTCAAAAATAGAAGCTAAAACCCCTAATTTTATTTTTGCAAATAAATTAAAAGCATTAGTTCTATTTCATCTTCAAGCGAATTTTGGAGTAACTTTTAAAATTTACCGGGTTTAAATACACAGCTAAAATCACGTTTCCATGGTTACAGAATATTCTACTCAAATTGAACACGGGGTGTCTAGATTTTCCTTATGACAGTATCATTGTATCAGTTATTAGCTACATTTTGGTAAGGGGTGAATGTATTTTTTACACTGAAACCTGACGTCGGTTGAATGGATGTCGTCTGAATTTAAAAAAAAAAAAAAAAAAAAAAAAAAAAAAAAATTAACGGTAAAAAAGATTTTCAACGTCATCTTTTAAAATTAAAAGATTTTTTTTAAATACTTTTTATTTAACTACGATTTGAAATATTTTCCTTTTTAATTTTATTTTTACTATATTCTTTTTAAGAACAGTTAAATGTATTAGAATCCATTATATTATGTAGGATTATTTTAACATTAAGTTTAAGTATGTATATGAGGTTACATTTTTTTTTTTTTTTTTTTTTTTATGATATGACAGCAGAAATGGTTACTTAATTTCACTGATTCAGTAAACTTTTCTTTTATATATAAACCTATTATTATAATATTTCATGTAAGTACTGAGGACATTCATGGGTCATTCAAAAAGCTTACATGTTATGGTATTTCATATTAATTTTATTTTACTATAGGTGTTATTTTTGGATTCTTTTTAATGCGTGTAGTATTATTTAAAAAGAAATTTAGGTTAGAATTCATTCAATTTAACTACAATTTTAATTACAAATTCAAAATTACAACTTTAAAATTTTTAAAATATTTTCATTGTTTAGTTTTAATAGACTATATTACTTTTATAACAGAAGGAAAATTACTCATATTAAGTAAGATTATTTTTCCATATCAAAGTATATGTAAATTTTTTTTTTTTTTTTTTTTTTTTTTTTTCTCTTTAAATTTAAATATTATTTAAGTAATATTAATGGCACTTACTACAAAAAAAAGCTAAGTCATTTCTCAGATTTAGTAAACTTTATTTATTTATTAATTAATTAATTTATTTATTTCAAATATATGTAACCTAATTAATAAAGTTTCATATGTATGTATAAATAACATGTTAGAATTCATTTTATTTTACTACAATTTTAATTTCAATTTTAAAATTTTAAAATTATAACTTTAAAATTTTAAAAATATTTTCATTGTTAGTTTTAATTTAGACTATATTACTTTATAACAGAAGGATAATTACTCATAGTAAGTAAAAAATTTTTTTCCTATCAAAGTATATGTAAATTACAATTTTAAACTTTTAATTTAGATATTATTTAAGTTGTATTAATGGCCCAGACTACAAAACTATCTAAGTCATTTCTCAGAATTAGTAAACTTTATGTATTAATTCAAGTTTAAGTATGTATATGGGGTTACATTTTTTTTTTTTTTTTTTTTTTTATATATATATAAACCTAGTGATATAATGTTTCTCATGTAAGTACAAAGGACATGGGTCATTCAAAAGCTTACATCTTATGGCATTTCATATTAATTTTATTTTACTATATTTGCTTTTTTGGGATTCTTTTTTAGTGCGTGTAGTATTATTTAAAAAGAAACTTAGGTTAGAATTCATTCAATTTAACTTTAATTTTAGTTTCAATTTTAAAATTACAAACTTTAAACTTTTGAAATATTTTCATTGTTAGTTATATTAGACTATATTACTTTATAACAGAAGGAATATTACTCATAGTAAGTAAAATTATTTTTCAATATCCAAGTATATGTAAATTACAATTTTAAACCTTTATATTTTAAAATATTATTTTTAGTAATATTAATGGAACTTACTACAAAATTAGCCAAGTCATTTCTCAGATTTAGTAAACTTTATTTATTACTTAATTTATTTATTTATTTTAAATATATGTAACCTAAGTAGTAAAGTTTCATATGTATGTACCAAGAACAGGTTAGAATTCATTTTATTTAACTACAATTTTAATTACAATTTTAAAATTACCACATTAAAATTTTTTAAATATTTTTCATTGTTAGTTTTAATTGACTATATTACTTTATAACAGAAGGATAATTACTCATAGTAAGTATAATTATTTTCCATAACAAAGTATATGTAAATTACAATTTTTAAACTATTATATTTAAATATTTAAGTAATATAAATGGCACAGACTACAAAAACTATCTAAGTCATTTCTCAGATTTAGTAAACTTTATGTATTAATTAATTAAATTATTTATTTTAAATATATGTAACCTGAGTAATAAAGTTTCATATGTATGTACAAAGAACAATGGGTCATACATTACCTTACATCATCTAGCTTTAGTTATAATTTCATTTTTAGGAGGTGTTTTATCGGATTCATTCAAGTGTTTGTAGTACATTTATTATAGAGGTGTTTCGGTTAGGATACATTTTATTTAACTACAATTTTTTAAACGGTGTTTATGTTTTAATAAACAACCACAATTTTAAATAACAGTTTAAAACATTTTTCCTGCCATTCAATAGACTTTTTTTTTTTTTTTTATATATTATTTAAGGAAAATTTTTATATATATAATAGCTATTTCATTTCTCTGATTCAGTAAATTTTTATTTTTTTATAAACTTAGTAATATATAGTTTCTCTTGTATACATAGAGGACACGGGTCGTTTAATGATCTACAAATTCTAGCTCTTCTTATTAACTTCCATTTTACTGTAGGTGTTTTATTTGATTCTTTTAGATGCCAGAAATATTTTGAGAGAGATGTTTGATTTTATATTTATTTATTCTAAATGAAGTTTGATGTTGGTTGAATCTTTTTTTTGAATTCATGGCTAGTGCAACCTATATATTTTTTATGTTATCAGGATTTTCAATCGAAGAGATATTGCATTGGTATACTAATGATTCAGTGCAACATTTATTTTGTAAACAATTTTGAGGGTTTCGACAATTACATAGTTTTTGTTTATTTACATCAGTTTTTATCTTAATTTTTCTATTGTCTAAATTTTTTTGGTTTTTGGTATAAGTGTTTATTTAAGATATTAGCATTATGGTTCTTAATGATTTTTTCTAAGTTCTTTGTACAGCTATAACTTAATTTTAGTGTGTTTTTATTGAAAATAGTACTTAGTTTATTTTCACAAGGAAATGCTTGACTATTAATGTGAGGAATTTATGTCCTAATCTGTTCTTTACCATTTGGTTATATATTGTATACCAAATAATTTTTCTACATCTGTTTTTCTATATTTTCCATTTTTATTTTTTATATACGCTAGTTTTTTATTTTTTGTAGCCACTATCTTTTAGAGCCTTATTATAGCCATTGATATGCTATATTTTAAATCAATTAATTTATAAAATTAATGCTCTGTAAATTTACATTGAGCACTATTTTGTAAAAATAAAATATCTATAAGAACACCGGATTTTATATCTTACTGTTCTTTCTTTTTTATTTATATACATATATATATATATATATATATATATACACTAGGGTAGACTGTTCTAGTTCCATGTGTCATGTTTATTGGATGTCAGTTATCATTCATCTCTTGTTAATTCCCCTCTCCAAGTTATCCACTGCCTTAACCAGGTATTGAACACAAGGACACATGGCACAGTGAATAAAAGTGTTAGTTAGATCCCGTGATAGGAGCCAAAGAGTGTGAGTTCAATACCTGGTTAAGGTACATTATTTAGATTATTCGGACAATTGTCCTCATCTTTGTCGCCATATTTATCACAACGTTTTGGCCGTTGTACTCTCTGGCCTTCTTCAGGTGGTTGGAATGTCGAACTGAACTCTTTATTTCGCTGGGCGTTGGTTAGATCCAGTGACAGGACCCAAAGAGTTTGAGTTCAATACCCGGTTAAGGCAGTGGAGAACTTTCAGAGGGAAAGTAACAGGAGATAACTGATAACTGATATCCATTAAACATGGCATGTGGAACTAGAACAGTCTACCCCAGTGAGCGAAATAAAGGGTTCAGTTCGACATTCCAACCACCTGAAGAAGGCCAGAGAGTACAACGGCCAAAACGTTGTAATAAATATGGTGACAAAGATGAGGACAATAGTCCGAATAATGTAAATAATGTACATAATACCTCATCTCAGAAATATAGACAGACTCTGGTTAAGGTAGTGGTGAATTTGGAGATTCGAACCTGCGAAAAGCTTCACAAAGTTTTATCTGCCTTTAAAACACACTTTACTCGTTCAGATTTCTTCGAAAGTCATAACGTAAACAAAGCAATTTCTAAAGAACTAATGGATTTTGTTTATATATCCGTCATATTTTTATTACCTTAAACTTCATTTTTAGTGGATACCCATATTTGAATAGAAGCTCCGTATACATTATGTTAAATCCTATTAAAAAATGCATCCTCCAGTAAAATTCGAACCTGCATCCTTTTATATATATATATATATATATATATATATATATATATATATATATATATATATATATATATATATATATATATATTATATATATTAATATTAATTAGAGAGAATGAAAGACATTAATTTGTGTAAATGGTTTCTTCTGGAATTAATGTATATTAATTTGTCAGTCGATTGAAAAACCTGGAAACATTGACAAAAAACCCTGACCCCATTGCTTGTATAAACAAATAAAATTTCTTTTTTCGCAAAATGCATTTCTACTCTTGGCTAGCTCTCTCCACCACCACCACCACCACGCGCCACCACCTATTACTCCCCTTTCCTTTTCTTCTTTCTCTTTTTTTCTCCCACTCTCTTCTTCCGTCTAGCTCTTTCTTTTTCATTTTTCTCTTCTCACTCTCTCTTTGCTCTTCCTCTTTGTTCTACTATTGTCTCCTACCACCACCTCCTCCTTTTCCTTGCCTCTTTCTCTCTCCAATTCTCTACTGTCGTTGCCTTCTCCTTTTTTAACAACCCTCTCTCTCTCTCTTCACTTGTCCCCTACCGTCACCTCGCCCTTTTTCTACCACCTCTCTCTCTCTCTCTCTCTCTCTCTCTCTCACTCTTTCTGCCATTTTTTCTCTTTTTTTCTTTCTGCTCCTTCTCTTCTTTACTCTTTTTCTACCTCTCTCTTCTCCTTCTTCCTTTTTTCTCCTCTCTGTTTTTCTCCTATTCTTTTTCTTCTTCCTCTATTTGTTCTCTCCTCCTCCTCCTCCTCTTCTCTTTTCATCTTTACAACATACTTCCTCTTCATCTTTTTCTTTTCCTCCTTTCATTCTACTCCTCCTTATCCTCTTCATCTTCTTTTATTGTATTCGTTTTCTTTTCTTTTCTTTTGCTTTTCTCCTGATTTCTTTGCGGGATTCATCAGAATATTAACTCTCACCTTCAGAATCTAAAATTACATTTTTCTGCAAAAGTCCAGACATTTTTCTTCAGGTTCGATGACCACACCCCACCTAGACACTTTTTATTCCATTTTTACTTTCTATCCAAAACTATGACTCCCACAATACTCCAAAATATTCTTCTAGTTTTTATAGCCGACCCTTAATTGGGTTATCCCTTTGAATTTCAATCATTTACCCTGTTCCCAGTGTATCACCATTCCTACCCAGTCGTGCCTATTTTTATATTTCTTGTGCAATAATTTTCAGCGCCCCTTTATTATATGATGGACATTTTCTTCTCTGTCGATATTCACACATTTGTTTTGTCGTCTGTTTTCTAACGCCCTCGTAATATTTACATTCCTTTTCGCTTTTCTAAGAGAAATCGAATATTTGTGCAAAAAACATTTTTTTATCAGATACAATTCCTTTCATATATGGCATTTGAAATCTCACTATGGCGTTGTTTTTATTCTCAATTTTAGTTTCTGATTTTAGGATTACATAAATCCCAACAATTATTCTAGGATTAAATCTGCTCTTTGTGATTCCGTTATTGAATTTTCCTTTCATTTGGGCATCAGCTTCATCGTAGATTTCTCGATTTTGTCTTTCATTTCAATATCTCACTAATTCTGTTTATTATTATTATTATTATTATTATTTTGTGTATGTTATTTTTCCTTTTTTGTATTCTGAAAAGCCAGATCCAAACTATAGTCCTTAGGCCCTATAAGAGAATTGCCATTTAATTAATAGCAATTTTCTTAGATGATGGGATGTTCCTAGTAGGGCGATCTTCTGGGCAATTTGTATGTTGATATTACCTGGGACACTGTTAATAAATTTGTCCATTCCTTTTCTCACGAGGCCCAGAGCTCTGGTTACTATTGGTAAAGTCTTAGTCTTCATTCCCCACATCCTGTTAATCTTGATCTCTACGTCCTTGGATTTGGACAATTTCTCGATAATTTTCATGAAGGTGTGTCTCTTTTCTTTGATTTTTGTTATACACTCATTTCTTTCCGGGTCCCAATCAGAAATAGCTTCGTGACCTTTTTCCTGAGCATTAAAAAAAAACACCAAGATCACATACATTTTAAATAGATAAAGCCCTTCTTCATGTGTGAACTATACTTGTGGGTACAATATTTTTGTATTTCTTTAAGGCTTGAGTAACCAGGGAGTCCTTCAATGTTTCTATCGGAACCGTTTCTAATCAAACTGAGGGCTCCAACTACAACTGGAATTGTTGATGTCCTCATGTACTTTTCTTTTTTAGATTTTCACTTCAAGATCATTGTACTTTGATAGTTTTTTGAAGATCTTCAAAGATACATTGTACTCTGCAGTGTCTACCATGTCAATCAGAAGGCACATTTTTTGCGGTCTCTAATCACGATGTTTCGGCCATTAGCTTTGATTATTCTGTCTCTGAGTATTGTAAAGTTCTATAAAATTACCACAGGCCCTATCTCTGCAACCGGGTCTGGGTGGGGGTTCATACCAGTTTCTTGCAGTTTCCTTGCCATAGAAGTTCCATATTGTTCCAGTGCAGATATTGGCCCACTCTGGCATGCTGAATTTTATATTCAACAACCTGATCCAAGATGGTCAATTTTCTCTTGATTCTTATCACAGAACCTGCATTTCTGTTAAACGCAATATATATATATATATATATATATATATATATATATATATATATATAATAAAAAATAAGTTCATCATACATTATAAAAACAATTAAAACAATTGACCTCATAGTCTTTAATAACCCTACAACCACACAACTAAATCCTCTACAAAAAAAAAATGTAATGTATCAATTTACATGCCCATTCAGAGATCCTATCTCTGATTCTAATAATAAACCCAATACATTTATTGGTTTTGCTATAACCACGCTCTCCCGTGGACTTACCTGTCACTTTTCTGATCTTAGTTCTATTAAACAATATTTCTTAGAGAAACATAGCCATGTACATAATATTAGACAGATATTAGTTGATAACACAATAATACTCACACATACACACTGTAAAAAAAAAACTTCAGATATTGGGGGCCATCTACATTAAAACAAAGCAACCCACACTCAACAAAATTGCATTTCAAACTAGTCGCAACACGTTACAATGCATCTAGACATATGGTTCTGTTGCTAATATTTTGGTCTATCGCATGGTATGACGTCATAGAACCGCATCATGAATTTACAACCTGCGTTTACTATTCCGTGACCGTTATCGTCGTATAGCAATCTTCTATGCCAACATAACAGAATGACATGGCGAATATCTTTGTTTAAATGTCCCTATAAACACTCTGAAAATGGCTCATTTGAGCCAAAAGCTTAGATCAAGGAACATCATAATAAAAGATATCCAAATGTTGGACAATTTTTGTCTTTATTTTCACCGGAAATTAAAGCAAATATACGAACATTAGAACGGCTCATGATCAGACATAATAGACATTCATTGTCTGTTATATTTAACAATATATGTTTAAATAGATAGATAGATAGATAGATACGTGTGTGTATTATTATTATTATTGCTTCGCCTATTAGGTTATACTGAAGATCTAACGTTATTTGTGGTCTCCTTTCAAGTCGCTTTGGTTTCAGACTGAGAGAACCTTTCGCGTAATATTGTCCTTTCCTAGTAATGTCGATTTCTACAGTATTGAAACATGGGGTTTGCATCCAAATATTCCTAGATCCCTGTTCAAAATGCTGGAAATGGTGTCTAATGCAATAATGATTGTTTTCTATGGGAGATTCCATATCGAGCAAATGTCTCATAACACGTCCATGTGGGACTCTCTATATGCCTTTTGAGTTTCTCAGTTGCTTTCTTAACGAAATTCTGATCTTCTGGGCATGCCACCTCCCCAAGTGATCATTTGCTGTTGACGATTAAGTCAGTGTTCATACCCGTAGCAAATGGCAGTTTACATTAAAAAATACAGGTTCCTAAGCACGGTAGTAAAGGAAGGAGTGAAAAAATGACTATCATTTGTAAAAAGACAGAATATGCAAGATGAATAGCCCAGGATATAAGCAAGGAATTAGAGACGTCAACATCAATCAGGTTCAGAATTCAGAGAAGTGAATTGGAATCATATACGGAACATATATATATATATATATATATATATATATATATATATATATATATATATATATATATATAAATTAATTTATTTAAAATGTTTTTTTTCGCCTATTTTGTAAAAATAAAAAATATCTATAAGAATGCCGGATTATATGTCTTACTGTTCTTTCTGTATATATATATATATATATATATATATATGAATTGATATCAAATATGGATTGAAATCCGACAGTATGATAGGATAAGGATCAAAGGTTTATAAATCTAACACTCTTCAGCTTTTATTAAAGCTTCATCAGTGAATAAATATGGAGGATAATTTTCATTTTCTCCTCCATATTTCATTCTCTGATGAAGCTTTAATAAAAGCCAAACATGTCATATTTTTAAACGTTTCCTATTTATTCCTTTTCCTATCTGAGAAACAAATAATAGAAGACTTAAAATACGTTGTTATAGCGAAAATAAGCTCTCCAAGAAAATGTCGTTAGAAAAAAAAAGAATTGTCAATCCTCTTACGTGGCAGATAATTCTGGACAATTTCTTCACAGATTAAGAATTGAAGAAACAGAAATGCAATCTATAGAAGGATTCTGAGAATAGCTTAGACGGAACATATGGGCAACAAGGAAGTTATTAGGAAAATGGAAACAAAATAAAATATAGATATATGCATAGATCTAAGAAATGATTCTCGCCTTACTATCTTTCGCGAGTGACAGAACTCGGAACTAATTTCAACTCGGAACAAATTACAACTCGAATTAAAATCAAAGTTATCAATTTCCGTGAAATCCTAAACAAAATGCAATGAGTTGGTGTTATTTTTTTTAATTTAGCATTAAAAATCCTTATTAGATAAAATAATTCAGGATTCATCTTTTCTGCAACTTTCATTAATTAGTTTCGAGTTGAAATTAGTTCCGAGTTGAAATAAATTCAGCTTCCCTCCCTCCCAGCGCCTATTCTTCCATCCATTCCATCTGCTCTTTCCTTCTGGCTCTCCTGCCTTCAATATGTCTTGTGAGTGTCAAATTTTCCTTCATTATCCTAGAAATTTCAACTGTCGCTTTCTGATTCTAAAAACCAGTGTCCTTTTTGTTTCCATTTTCGTTAAAACGTCCTCGTGCATCATTTGTACAATACATGTCATTCTCAGCATCCTTCTGTAGAATCACACTTTGGCTACTACAAGTTTCTTCTTCATCATTGACAAGATTGTCCAGCATTTCCTGAAATGTAAAATGATTGATATTAACACCACATTTCAGCGCTTTTTCCTTTATTTCTAATACTATTTTCTTAATATTTTGCTTAGCTTTTGGAAGGCATCTTCGGATTTCGGTATCCTATTTTCAGTCCCCTGTTTTTAGTTCCTATTGACAGTAGTTGATTACATTTGCTTATTATATACTTCATTATTAATTTAGAAAGAAAAAGGGGAGACTGTATCTTTATAAGAAGGCTGGAAAATTTAAAATTGTCATTTATTCTTAGTATTTTTTTATTGTTATAATGCCTTTATAGGTTTACATCAGTTGACTTCGGATTATCTCTTCAAATTAGACCAAAATGGAGTATTACTGCCATATATGGGCTAAAGGCGTTCACTTTGCAGGCTTTATAGTGTTAAGTGTCGTTTACGCTATTCTGTTGCTATTTCCATGGCAAATGTTCAGCTAGGACGCGTCCTGCTACATCCGCAGAGTTGAATCATCCTCATTTTCTCCATATTCCAAATGTAAAGAGAATGTTTGATCTAGAGAGATTTTCCCATTTTATGAAAGAGACTCCCGTGCAGGTGCTTCCCTAAACATTTCAATCATAAGTTCCTC